AAAAAAAAAAAAAAAAAAAAAAAAAAAAAAAAAACACTTGGGAATCAACTTAATGAAAGAGATGGAAGATCTATATAATGAAAATTACAGAACCCTAAAGAAAGAAATCAAAGAAGACCTTAGAAGATGGAAAGATCTACCTTGCTCTTGGATAGGCAGAATTAATATTATCAAAATGACCATACTACCAAAAGCACTATACAGATTTAATGCAATTCCTATTAAAATTCCAGTGATGTTCTTTATATAAATATAAAAAGCAGTCATAAAATTAATTTGGAAAAATAAGAGGCCCAAAATAACCAAAGCAATCCTTTGCAAGAAAAGTGATGCAGTAGGTATCACAATATCAAACCTTAAATTACCAGAGCTATACTAACAAAAATGGCATGATTTTTGTTAGTATATGGTATATTTTGTTAGTATATAGTATTTTTGTTAGTATATGAATTGGCACCAAAATAGACATGAAAACCAATGGAACAGCACAGATGTGGGGGTGGGGATATACCCACATAAACACAGTTATCTCATCCTAGACAAAGGTACCATAAATATACATTGGAGAAAATATAGCCTCTTCAACACATGGTGCTGGGAAAACTGGAAATCTATATGTAGTAGAAATTGAACCCCTATGTGTCACCCTGTACAAAACTCTAAGTGGATAATGGTCCTAGGCATTAGACCAGAGACCCTGCATCTATTCAAAGAAAAATTAGGTCCAACTCTTCATCATGTTGTCTTAGGAACTGACTTTCTCAATACAATGACTCTTTACGGAACTCTCAATCCATCTTGGTTGGATCAATTTCATCCACAGCACAGAAAGCCTGAAGTTGTATTATAGATCATATATGAGTACACATGTACATACACACACACACACACACACACACACACACACAGTGTCTTACAAGTAACACAATATAAATAAATATCAGATATCAAGCAAATGAACTTTAGTCAATGAGTCAACTGGGATTTCCTCAAGGAATCCCATGCATAATTTTATGCTGTTCAATTTTTATTCCACTAAAATTATATCTGGAATCTGGAGTTATTGACCAAAGAAAAATAGGAATGAAATCTTGATATGCACTTAGCTTATATTAATAGTATGTCCTATAATTATAATTACAACTATGTTATGCAACTATATTTATATCTATCATGTCACAGCAACTATAGGCCTGTTACTATAAGAGAAAAATTTCTTATTTTTATGAAAATAAGTCATGAATTTCACAGTCATATAAAGGTCCATTTATGAGTTCCACCACTCAAAAAACAGAGGTTACCAGTTCAGCAAAAAAAAATCCCATACAAGGAATTTGATTTCCTCTTCTTGTGAAATAAAAAAAAATAAAGCACCAGTATTGTTCACCTCTCTAAGTAAAGAGGAAAACAGAAAAGTTTAATAACTACCTTAAGAATATACGGATGATAAAACCCAAACATAGGACTTTAATCCAGTTGTCAATAGCCAGACTGCTTGGAATATTACATTCCAAAATTACCAGTGTAAATGTGTAACAATACAAGTCAATTGATGATCAAATATTCACAAAATTCTCATGTATCAAAAGAAAAATCAAAATTTTGACAGGGTAGAAGATAGCTCATTCAGTGATTCAGTATTCAGATTCTCTTTGCGTGTGTGTGACAAACTTGCAATGAAGAAGTAGAAAGTAGTTTCATTTCTTGCAAGTTATTGCCTAATCCTAGCATGTATCTCTGTAAGTCCCAACTGACCTTTCTCTCTGGTCATTTCAATTTACAATTAATTTCAAATTACAGGACATCAGATATGCCTACCACTCTTGAATGATGAAACTTCTGAATTTTTAGAAGGAAAAAAATTACAGAACACCAGATAATAGAAATAATAGATAATAGAAAGGCACATCTTCTATTATCTAGAGGACTGCTTTGTTCTTCAGAGACCATTAATTCATTCCCCATTCCTGCTAGTGACTTTCTCATCAGAAAGTAATCAGATGTTTCTCAGTAGGTAACTTATCTAATCAGGATTTTGAAAGCAGTATTAATTTTATAATTACATCAAGAGACAGGTATTCAACATTTACTACATGAATACTGAATGAATGATTGAGTGAAGGAATGAATAAACAAATGTCAATTGTTAACTTGTAAGTCTACCAATAAATGTTTCACTGTTTTCATACCAAGTTAGTTCATCAACTCAAGGGTTACATCATTCCATGCTCATCATTATTTTACCCATTGAAAGACATTTCTATCTTGTTTATAGAAACATGATTTGAAATTTCTTTATCCGAATTTCTGACAATACTTCTCTGTCTTCCTCTCCTTTTTTTCTTTTTCTTTAGAATGAATATAAAATAAAAGGCAATTTATCCAGGTTGCCTGTGGAGATGGACTTATGAATTAATGTATACCTAAGCAGTTTAATTTAATCTGTGTGTGTCAAACAGAAAGTATAAATTTTCAAACAATTATACACAATAGAACATAATTTATGCTAATCCATACTGTGTATCATTTAACTTGTTTTGCATAATTCATAAAACATTTCAGAGTGCATTTGCAGTGCCTCAAGTATAAACAAAAATTATGACTGTACACAGTGGATGAATTTGTTTTCTGAACCATCTCATGGATTGGATTCTAATAAATGAGAGTTTGTGATATAATTCTAGTTTACTACTTACTAGCTCCATAAATGTGGGTGATTTTGTTAATCCTCCTGATCCCAGTTGGCCCTCAATAAAAGGGAGATAATAATAGTATGGATCTCAAAGTATTATTTGAACATTCTAAAAAATAAACATTTAAAATGAATAGCATAGAGAATAGTTTGTAGTAAATATGCAGTATAAGTTATCATCACCACCATTATATACTATTTGTTTTCCTTAAATGGTAATACTTTTCATTAAATGGATTAATTCTCTTTTCCTACACTTGGATGTTTTGGTATTTTAACTCCTTTCTTCAATAAATTTACATTTCTGAACTAACCCCGGTATTCTTTCCCTGTACACTTTTACCCACCCCTAGTACCTTTAGCTCTCTCTCCATTTAACTTCTGGTCAGGCTGATCCTTCCTAGGCTTCATTTTGAGGTCATCAAAAGTCATTTCCAAATTCATGCCAAGAATCAGAGAGTGTAGCAGTCAAGGACTTCAACGAACTACAAGTGTATGAGCTTCTGCTGGAGTGTTTAAATAGCTTCTGTTATCTAATAGAAAAATGACTCAATCATCCCTGGGAGGAAAGGGAGTCTTTGCTTCATATTGGGAAGTTGACTGACGCAAATTCTTGGGTTACATCTATTGCAGGTGGGGAAAGTGGTGATTCTAATATTTCAGTAAGCAATTTATGAAAGGAAAAACGTATTTTCCATGAGTCTTAGAGGGAAAAAGTTGTATGTACTCATTAGATAAGGATGCCAAAATTCACAGAAAGTAAGTCATATTAAATTTATGGAAGAGGGTGCATTTAGCCCAATATTCACATTTGCTTGTTAATTTTTGCTGTGGCAAACTGTATATAATATCTTATAATTAACACTTTTTAATAATTCTCATTGTTTTAATTGATAATCACATATGACTCCCATTTCCAAGAGGGTCCTCTGGGTAATTTTAGAACTGAATTTGGGGTACATACAGTGGCCATATAATAGCAGTAGAGAGAACTATTAGACTAGATAAGCTAGTTTCAAATATCTCCCTTGGTCTTTCCTCTTGGGGAATTACTTAACACTGATCAATGTCTCTGTCTATAAGTGGAGATAATGTCTACTTGATAATGTTGCTATAGGGATTCAAATGAGACAATGAGTGAAAGTGAAAAGCTGTTTTCAATTTGGTATTTGAAATATAACAAGAACTCAATAAATATTTGTTATAACTATTATTAGTTCTAGTATTTAGCACAGATAAATTGCCCAGCAAATAATACATTTTGGTCTAACCAGTGATTGACTCAAGTCACAAACATTCTTCTGTGCACTCCCCTTAAGTATGTCTAACTACCTGGATTCATGGATAGACTCCTCATCTATTTTTCTTTCACGATCACCTCATCAGAAAAGAAATATCTCTTTGAAAGTATGTGCACTTCTAAAAAATATCCATATCTTCTAAAAATGTTTTCTGAAGTATTTACGTAAAACGTAACATGATTCTAAAATTTGCTTTAAACCACTTTGGGGGGAAAAAAAGAAAAGGAAAGGAAAAGAAGGAAGAGATAGCTAACAGAAGAATGGAGAAATAAATAAAGTCTCTAGGAAACTAATTAGTAAAAATAACCAATATTGACAGTCTTATTAGGATTCCATTTTCTTCCGTCTCCCTAAGTTTTTCCTGCATTCTCTTTTTCTGTGCAGTGTATCTAATACCAAATTGAAAACAGCTTCTTTGCCATTTAATGTTTTGCTCTGTGACATAGTTCACACACACAATTATCAACATGTAGCAAATACATCCTTATCAAATCAGCTGGTAGCCAGAAAATGTTACTTACCTTTATCACCAAGCCCCTTGCCAGTTCCCTGAAATGTGAGTGCCAGGAAGCAAGGTCCTGATGGGACACATTTCTGCAACAACCCTGGTGACTCACACTTGAATAAAATCTTAGGAAATTCCATTAATAATGAATTAATAGATCCTGAAATAAAAAGGACACTTTATTATTCCCATAGTTACTTAACATGCCACTAACATTTCATAGCATAAAAAGGTTGCCATTTTAACCATTTCAGACACACTGTTCACTGTGGAATTAATTAAATTTGTATTGTTATACAGTCAGCACCACAATCCACCTCCAGAACTTTTAAAATTTTTTCCATCTGAAACTCTGTACCCAATAAATAACTCCTGTGGTGGTGAATTTTACAGTTAGTTTTGTTTGGGCCATCAGGTGCCAAGATAGGGTGTTTGGGGATGGGATGAACATATTAATTAGTAAAATATAGCACATTTCAACACATAATGTGGGTGGATCTCTTCCAAAAACTGAAGGACTGAAGAACAAAAAGACTAACCTACCCACAAATAAGAAAAAATTCTCCCGCATATGGACTTTGGGTAAAAACTACCTCTCCTAGCCCTTCTGGGTCTTCTTCACCTGCTGGCCTTTGGACAGAAATTGTACCATCAGTTCTCCTGGACCCTCGGGCTACTGACCCTCACTTCTGATTTGGACTTTTCAGCCTCTATAAACATTTAAGTCAATTCCTTATAATAAATTTCTTTCTATGTATGTACACATCCTATTGATTCTACTTTTCTAGAGAACTCTGATATATACAACTCCCTATTCCTTCTTCCTCTTCTGGAAACCACCATTCTGTTTCCAGATTTTGCTAGAACTAGATGCCTTGTGCTAACTTCTCATCAGTGTGACAAAATACCTGAGATAATTAACTTATAAGAAAAAAGGTTTATTTTGGCTCTCATGATTTTAGACATTTCAGTTCACGGTCTTTGACTGTTGTTTAGAGTCTTTGGAAAAGCAGAACACCATGACAGGGAGCATGTGGTGAAGCAAAGCTGTTCACGTCATGGCAGACAGGAAGTGGAGAGAGAGAGAGAGAGAGGAAGGAAGGATCCAGTATCCAAATATCCCTCTCAAGGTCATGCCCCCAGTGACCTAATTCCTATACTAGGCCTCACCTCCTCAAGGTTCCACCATCTCCCAATACCACTACAGGCTGGGGATCAAGCCTCTGACACATAGATCTTTGGGGGACATTCAAAATATACACCATAGCATGCTTCATGTAAGTAAAAACATAAAATATTTGTCAATTTGTGTTTGAGTTACATTATACTTTGTATGATATCTTCAAGTTTCATCCATGCTTTAGCATGTATTAGAACTTCCTTGTTTTCCAAGGCTGCATAATATTCCCTTATGTACATATAGAACATATTTTTTTTTATTTGTCCATCTGTCAATAGACATTTGGTTTCTCCTATTCTTAAATGTCCATGAACACAGTCTATAATCCTTGTGTGGCAGATACCTGGGCAGACTTGACATACCTATGAAGTCTCCAATTGACCCCTCCTCCTGGTGTTCATGGTCCAGGATAATCTCTTCCCTTTGAACATGAGTAAGAACTTTGACTTGAAGAGCAGCAAAAGTGATAGAATGTATGTGATCATGCATATGTGATTACATAAGATGTAGTGACTACTATGTTAAACCCTCTCCCTCTGCTATCTCTATTTCTCCATCTAGATTTAGAGAAGCAAGTTTACACTGACACAAACGTCACAAAGAAATGCATTCTGCCTGAGGGATCTTGTGGGTGAATTCTTCCCCCATTTGACCCTTCAGATGAGAATGCAGGCCAGAAGTCACCTTGATTTCAGCTTTGTGAGACCCTAAGCAGAAGACCCAACTAAACTGTGCCCAAGCTTCTGATTCATAGATGCAAGATAACAAGTATGTGTTGCTCTATATTATTACTCACAGATTATGGTAATAAGTTTTATAGAATATAAACCTAATTCATTTTTTGATAAACTCAATCCTTCTTGCCTTACTCAGCTTCCTTAAATCTAATCCCCTTACTGATTTTCAGTGCCTGTGAGGTTTCCACTTAAAACCTATGCTTCGATGTTGGCTCATAAGACAGATGCTTTCAGAGGTTTTAAGAAGGGACTGACTTCTGCCATCTCATCTACTCTTGACCTCATGGTTTTGGCCCAGTCCACTGATCAGCCCTTTATAGCTTGATATTGATGCCTCAGAGTAATCACAGTCCTGGATTCTATTTCACTGAAGCACAGAGAGGGTGGGTGACCTGGGTTAGCCAAGGTCAAAAAGAGACTAATCAAAGGAAACAGAAGCAAGCACTTCTTTAGCTAAACTTGTCACAGGGGTTGTACAACAATTCCCTGAAGCATAAGCAAGACGGTCCATGTACATGCACCTCTCATTGGTTCCAATCCAAGTCCTTAACAGCACAGTGTAAGCTAATGATTCACAGGCTTAATGGAACTACACAAGGTTGTGTAGGATTGTAATGAGGTCATTCCCCACTACTCCAGCTACTTGCCTTTCTGTCCCTATCCCATGTATGCCTTCTTCAGTCTTCTCTTTCCTTTGTCATCACTCCCCTTGTGGAGGCATTGAGAAAAATTGACCTCGGAGTTAAAACTGTCACAAGACATAATCACACTCATTAGGATTAAAAAAAAAAAAAAAAAAAGTTGTTTTATTTCCCCAGTAAACACTTTGGGGAGAAAAAAGAAATGGCAATAGTAATTCCATGAAAGAAAAATATTGAGGCAGTCATTAACAGAAGGCTATTTTGTTCTAACCTGTTAGAAGGCTGGAGGGCAAAAAGATGATGGCAGTCACATGGCAGGAAAGTCAATGAGAGGAAAAGCCATGTTCATTGGCAAACCTGTTCACACAGGTGGAGGCCGGCCTGTTTGCGGGAAGAAATGGACAGGCTAACATGGGAAAATATTCAAGAGCCAGACTATTAGAAGAGCTAAAATGTAGCTTAGAGAGGGACTGGTATATAAATATACACAAGAGGCATAAAAGACATTAATTATCCAGCACATTAGAAGTGAGGGTTATTTGTAAAATAAGAGTTAAAATCATCTTAGCTAACACATAAAATACTTATCAGGACTATTCTATATATATTTTATACATATTAGCTTATTTAATGTCTATAAGCCTATAAATAATAAGTAATAAGTAATAAATGTTATTACTCCTCTTTTATGTTAAAAAAAAAAAACTAAGTCAATGAAGATATGTGATAACTTGCCCAAAGTCACAGAGATAACAAGTGATTTCTTTTTCTTTTCTTTAGAAAGAAAAATAAAAGGGAAAGTTTCATGATGGTTTTTAATAGAAATAGTCTATTCAAAATACACTTCTTGTCTTTGATTTTATTTCCTCTCTGAAATAATATCTAAAGCAGGTCGAGTGGATATTCTACTCCTTTATGAATGAGATGGGGGAAACTACATAATTATTGAGCTTTTAAAGGACCACAATTAAAGTTCTACTCTTCTCATCCTGTAGAATGCCTTCCACCTTGCTAAGTTTTCTATTGAAACTTGGAATGGACACTTTGTCCCAATCCCAACAGCCTTACATTTTTAAAAAAGAATGTCAGCGTTCATAGATTTGAAACTGATAAATTTTAAACAACCAGCATC